GTTACGTAACCCACAAGTTACATTACACCCAGTTACCTACACTGTAACACTTCTATTTTATTTTAATGTCAACAATGCATATTATTTTGAGTACATTCTTCCCATGGTTTGGGTCGGTTTTCAACTATTTTCGCACCTTTTCTTAAAAATATGAATCAAGGTGTAGCAGAAGTGCACACACCTCTTGGGTATAACACTCATATTTTTGAAAAAYGGTGTGAATGCTAGCTATCAATAGTTATTAAGACCAGGTTTCACTTTGAAACCTTTTAGAATTTTCAAGCTGTTTTAGATAACTTTCTGCTTCTTCTTTGTCCATATTTCCTTCTTCGCTGAAGATTTCTAGAAGAGCTTCGTTAACATCAACTGGCATGCGCTGTGAGTTCCTAGTACACAAAAAAGTTTGACACTTATCATTAATAAGATAATAGTTGGTAAATATTATGCTCAAYGTGATGTCTTACCCTGCTAGGTAACAGTAGGATGACTTGTTGTGCAGCAAATCCCAGATCAGAGAGCTGTTTCTTCGCATCACATGCTGTACATAAACCTTTTCTTCCTTTAAGCAAACATTGAAGTCCCATCAAAATCAAAAGCCATGCCTTTTTTGCAGATCACTCTTATATTTAGTAATGATTTTGGAATAATGTGAAGAATATATTATACGTAATGGTGTACCAATAATCGAATGGAATTAAGATTTTAAATTCAAAAATACCAGATTAAGAAAAGAATTTTTGATGTGATGCACACTTTAATTAGGTGAAGTGAGCCATACTTATTACCTGATCACGCGAGAAAGCTGGTAAAACTTGTAATAAGTTTTGCCTACTCAAGTCTTTCCACTGGTCTTCAAAGAAAAAGTCCTTCCCACGATTACGTGATCCAAAGAACAATACACAATCTAGAAATGAAATAACATGATCGTAAAAATTAAATTTTACCACTTTTTGCATACATTTGTTCCTATTAAATATATGTGTTATTCCTGTAATAATAACCCATCTTACCTCTTCCACCAAGCTTTACTCTATCTTCAATAAAACTTCTGAATGGAGCAACTCCAGTTCCTTTTACAGCAACAAAAAATGTATGCTGTTACATGTAAGCTGCAGATAACTACTTAGAAATTAGTCCTCGAACCCAAATGGGCTACCAGTCAATAGTCCATGAGGTCAAAGGCAAAATGGGCTATTAACTCAAAGGCCATGAGGGCGAGAAGACTAATTGTTCCAGTCAAATCCAACTAGTCGGTTAAATATATAGATGCAAAAAAGTTTTGATTTAAAGTTTGCTACTACTAGGTTATAAYGTATAGCCTAGTAGTAGCTCATCCAATCAGAAGGCAGCATTGATGATATACCACTAGTTGGATTTGATTAATACATAATATTCATCATGGTATTTCTTCCGGTWATAAATTACACAAACGTACCAGGTCCTATCATAATCATAGGTGTATGTACATCACGTGGTGGTGATATGGTGCCTTTTGTAATCCATATTGGGATATGATGATCAGTTTTTGCGTCTAAAGATGACAGCCATGTTGAACATAAACCACGACGAGGCTTTGACAGTTTTGTTTTATAATTCACAACAGCCATTAAAATTTGTATTTCATTTGGGTGACTCTAAAAAAAATTTGCAGGTGAGAAGACACATATACAAATACATAAAAGTAGGTACATCTACAAGGAGGTACATCTACAAGGAGGTACATCTACAAGGAGGTACATCTACAAGGAGGTACATTCAGAACTCAGTACATATACAAATACATACACGTAAGCAAACCTACAAGCTAAGTAGGTGCATTTACAACAAAGTACATCTACAAGCAGGTACATCTACGAGGAGGTACATCTACAAGGAGGTACATCTACAAGGAGGTACATCTACAAGGAGGTACATCTACAAGCAGGTACATCTACAAGGAGGTACATCTACAAGCAGGTACATCTACAAGGAGGTACATCTACAAGGAGGTACATCTACAAGCAGGTACATCTACGAGGAGGTACATCTACAAGGAGGTACATCTACAAGGAGGTACATCTACAAGGAGGTACATCTACAAGGAAGTACATCTACAAGGAGGTACATCTACAAGGAGGTACATCTACAAGGAGGTACATCTACAAGGAGGTACTACATTCAGAACTACAGTTGGTATATCTACAGGTAAGTACTGTACATCTACTAGGAACGTTTTTTTCAGCCATGACCTACTCACCAATTGAGAAGAAGCAATGGAGAAAGCTCTTGGTTKGATTGGTGGAATAAGATCCAGTAGATAATCCAGTGGAATATTAGCGCTGGAATGTGGAAAATCCTGAAGAACCTATCCTCAACGAGAACAAAATRGACAAGCTTGAAAACTTGTTATGTTTTGGAATTATGCACAGTGCTGTATATATAAGAAATATAAAAGGCTCGCATGTCTCTATACTGCAATATAAACATTCTGGGCTCTGTTGAACATGAGAGAAGCAAGCTTAGAAACACGAGGCAAAAGCACATGTTAATTCTAAAATATTCTATAAAGTACAATAAACATTATGAGACATGCATAATAACAAGCAAAATGAAAAATACAAAAGAAAAAATATATAATCAATGTTTTTACCTCTAATATGGTTCTTTTCAATCGATAGCAGTATGAATACAGCTCTTCCTATAAAATACATAAATACATATGGTTAGGGTTTTATAGGGTTAGCCGTTAGGTGTCAGCAATATGCAAACCAATAAAAAAACTGAAGAAGTAAAGTAATTATTAACTATCTGTGTCCRTGCGCCATCCTYACTGTTAGACATCATAATTAGTCATCATCATTAGGCATCATCMTMAACACCATCARCACAACCAKCATTGTGTCTGTGACTGTCACMATGATCAACATCATCATCACCAACATTYATATTTCATCACTATTGTCATCTGTAATAATTTGTCTAACCTGACCCTCAGCAGAGTTAAATTCCAAAAGTTTTTCCTTTTCCAGTTCAGAYGTTGTAAAATGTGAGAGAAGTTCAAAGAAATATCTCCTGGGCCTCCCTTGTATATCAAGATATTGCTCCACTAGGTACTTAATAGAACAGGGGCTAGGAAGTCCACTGGGCAATGGGACATCTKTAAAGAAATTATTCAAACCAAGATATACATTAACACAAACCAATGTCACAAAAATAATCCACAGATATTCAACTCACCTGGATCATTTTGTTGTAGAGTGAATACTTTATCTGGATCTAAATTTAAAAACTCAATAAACTCTTGTACAACATCTTTTAAGTTGCTTGGCTTTACCATMACAACATCTCCTGGTTTATACCTATCATATAAATATAAATAAAAACATTCCTTTAAGGAACTTGTTGTTAATTTACAACACTGGTCTTGAGACATATTCAAACAGCTTACTTGATTTGAGAGTTTGAAGTATCCAGACAGACAAGTCTAACATCYTGCCAGTGATCAGACGGAGTTACTCTTTCATTTGATATTAGTTTTGCATAAAACGGATGATTCTTTGATGGTTCACCAACTAAAAAATAAAATGCTTTATGTTTTTCCATACTGTACTTTTGATGAATATGAATATCATCTTCATCATCATCTTCATCATTATCATCATCATCATCACCACCATCAACATAATCTTCAACGTCATCATCAACACCAACATCGTCTTCACTATCATCTTCCCCATCATCGTCTTCGCCATCATCAACAGTCACCAACAACACTATCATTAGTTTACATACCATTCAAGGTGTTGTTTATCACACAATCCCTCTTGCTGCTTTTATCAATAAATGATATCCTAAATCTTGGTAAAGGTCTTTTGAAGTTAAAAAACATGTGTCAATCATCTGTACTACATAATTAAATATATTTTCGATAACAAAAAATTAAATATACCTGATATTAGCACTTATTATTTCTTTTCCTTGTGGAATTGGATATTTTTCAAGGATCTTTTTCCACAACTCATTTAGCCAAGGATCAATCACTGCATCAGCACTACAAAATATGACAAYTTTAACAAACATAGCTTTCATCACAACAGACTGTTTAACCCAGGCAATTGTGCAAACTGGGTGCAATCAAACCAGTAGCAGTTATAGCATAAGTCAACATTTCTTACCCCAAATCATGTTGATCATCAGCAAGCCCAAGAGAATGTATTGAGGTTGCTCCTAATTGTAACAGTCGCTTGTAAATCTTTTTGCCAATAAAATTAAATCTACAATATCAACATGACAGTAATCAAACATAGCTCAATTTATGATATTGATGTGGTATAATACAGTTATATATATTTCTTTTATTATTATACAATCAACTCTCTTTGAACAACCACTCTCGTAAGCAACCACTTTCTCCTGGYCCCAGGGTGGTCGCTTATGGGAGAGTCGACTGTACTGCTAAAATATTATTCATCATTATTTATTGATTGGCCAGACATTGATAACCTTATTCCCCTCATGGTGTGGAGAGCYATAAGTAAAAAAAAATTACAACTTACTTTGCATAGGAAGAATCCCCCAAACCAAGAACGGCAAAGGACAACTGACATAATGAATTACTTGGCAAGTTCTTTCGCATAATAAACTTCCAGAATTTCTGATAAATAAATAATTAAGATATTATAAAAAAGATAGTATGCAGGGGCGGATCCAGAGGGTGGAAAAAGGGGTGACAAGTGTCCCCCTTTTGCTCAAATTTCTCAGTATGTCATTAGAAAAWCTCACCCCCTTTTCTTCGCGTTCCTGGTAAAGCTTTTCTAATAGTCAACCCCTTCTAAACTTCCTGGATCCGCTGGTATGACTATGACGCTGGTATGACAGCCTATTGCACCTAATATTGGGATAGACCTATTGTACGTTTAAACTTACCCTCTACCCCTGCCCTTTTCTTGGCCGTAAGCTAAGGTTTATATGACTTAAATTAGCTTGTATCTGACAGTTTATTGATGTAATACCTTCATGTTATCGGGTTCATCTCCCTGACCTGTAGTAGAACAAACAAAGATCGCAACATTCTCCTGGATTAAATTTCCCTGAAGAAACAAATAATACAAGACATGCATCCTGTTTGAATAATATGACTCGTAATGTTGTATGTTCGTTCTTCAAAGAGTTTCCTCAACTTATACCATCATCCGTAATCAATCACTCGCGATACCATTACGTAATGCGTTTCTGTATCAACAAACCTACCAGATTATAATCATCCAACGCCATCACACGGACCGATAGGTGTCTACGTTTCCCATCTCGTCCAATTCTTTCAGCTACTTCTTCAGCTGTGCCTGTTTGTGATCCATAAAGAACGGTAATCCTTCGTTTACTCTCATCCGCCATCTTGGTTTGTGAGATACTCCGCTGTACACTAACATTGTCAAACTTAAATTGACGGAGAGAAGTGGGGGAGGGGTGGGGGAGGTATATTGTTTATTGAGAAAGTTAATGTATTACATTCATATGTAAATAATGTCAGCACAGAGTAAAATATACCAGAAAAACGTGCAGACAGCTTAGGAAAATTCCTTGAATCCCTCCCTCCCTTGGTTATGGACGGGCACTGTGAAGCTAATGAACCATGGTTTGGTATTGAGATTTGAAAAGTGAAGCTATATAACCATGATTCCCTTACATCCTTATCTTGGTTATGCGGGACCGAAATGTGAAGCTATATAACCATGATTCCCTTACATCCTTA